ATGACTAAATTAGAAATTAACCTGTTGGGGGGGGGGAAGAGCATCTTGGAGTGAAAGTGGGCCTTGGCTGTAGGGACTCTGGAGGCTTCCAAGCTCAGGAAGTATGGGTTCCTGTCTCTTCCCCAAAGCCAACCTACTGGCTAATAATTCTTGATGCTGGAGGCGGTACAGTGTGAGGGCTGAGGCAGGATTCCGGAGCCGTCTGTCTGCATCCAAGCCAGCTCTAACCCTCACCTACTCTGTTTCCTTGGGCAGGTTACACCCTGTGCCTCAGTTTTCTTGCCAGTAAAATGGTGAGGGCAATAACAAGGTCTTCTTCATCAGGTTGTTACATAAAGCACTTAGAACAGCTCTCAGTAGTCCATAACTATAGTATAGCTATGCTCCATTTCTCCAGATGGCCCGTTGGCAAGATAATAAAAGATGAACTAAGAGATCTCACACTCTCATACAAGAGAAACCTCAAAGGGAATCTTCATGGGCTCCTAGATCAACTTAAGGGCCCCACCTTTATTACCTCAATCTTAATTACCCCCTGAAAGCCCTCTCTCCAAATACAGTCACCTTGGGCATTAGGGCTTCAACACAAGAATGTGGGGGGAGGGTGGTGGACACACCATTCAGGTCACAGCATCCTCTCTGCCTGGCCACACTGTAGCCAGGAGAACTCTGGCCAGTTCTCCCAGGAGGACTCTGAGAAGGGGTCACTTTCCTTTGAATCTAGTTCAAAACAGGGTAGAAGGGACAGTGGCCTCTCTTTGCCCTAGATGTCATCTAGTTCAGGAAAAATAATATGTATGTGGCTTGTCGATGAGGAAAAGAAGCTAACATGACATTTCTAATGGTAAAGCAGAGCACTTAAGACTTGGGATACCTAGGTTATAATTTTTTAATGATTTTCTGTGTGACCCTAAAGTGACATAATCTCCCCTTGGGCTTTATCCCCTTTTCCCTAACAGAGGAGGCTGTTGACCTACTTCTTAAAGTGATTGAGGGGAACTGGCAAAAGACATAATTGCAAAAGTCTTTTTTGTAAACATGAAGATGCTTTTACATGCTGTAAATAATAATAACACAGAAGAATACACCTCCTTTCAAAATCCATGACATTTGCAGAGTAAAGTATGTGGTCCAATAGCTGGAGTCTCAGTTCCCTTTGGTAGGGTTGCTAAGAGGGAAAATGAGTCTTCCCATCTAGGGAGGGAAGGGAAAGCTTGGGGAAATTCTCCTAACTGAAGAGAGATGAATTCCATGAAAAACACAGAAAACACCGTGCACAATCTTCTAGCAACAGTTTGTCAAAGAGAAGCAAATCCTTCAGGAAATTCTCTTTAATATACTTTTAGTAAATGTTTTATTGTATTGGATTATGGGAATTAAGGGAGTGAAGGATCCATACCATATTTTTCAAAAGCAATATTTTTAGAATCACAAATTATATTGAAATTTTTATACCAAGAAAATAAAAACAAATATCAGAAGAACTAAACAGCATTTATACATGTCTCTACAGAGATATATATGTATATTAGCAAATTGAAATATAGCAAATACACACAAAAACACCCACATAAAAGAGATGCAAATTATATTTTTGACACATTTTCAGCCCAATCACCTAATACAATTTTCTTTTATAGGCAGAGGTAATAAATAGTGCAAATGTATATTTATGGTGTATTTGACAAATGTATTTGCTTTGAGTCAGAATGAAAAGCTCCAGCGATTTTATGGTGGAAATGCTTCTCATCTACCTGGACTAAATCGCTCGTCTTTCTTCTGGGTTTCTCACTGTGACCGAGTCTGAAGTGGGAACCACCTTTTGGTCTCAGAGTGTGGTACCTGCTTAGAATAAGGATTTGGAGCATACTTGAAAATCAAGATGTCCTGGTCTCTGTGTGTGTTTATTTCCTGTCTCCCCTCTAAGACTATGTGCGCCTTGAGAGAAAGAGCAATGTCTGTTACTTCCACACAGATCTTTCTGCCTCCAGAACAGTGGTTTGCATGTAAGGGGTGCCTCATAGGACGATGCTATTCTTTTGCCAGGGTGCTGGTGTGGTCTTTAGGGAAGCAGACACATGCTATGTGCTGTGAGATGGTGTTTCACTTCAACATGTCTGAGAATCAGCTGTAACTTGCTCTTTTTTTAAAATTGAAGTATAGCTGATTTATAATGTTGTGTTACTTTCAGGTGTACAGCAAAGTAATTCAGTTTTATATATATATAAAACTATATATTTTTCAGATTCTTTTCCATTTTAGTTTATTACAAGATATCGAATATATTTCCGTGCTATAGATTAGGTCTTTGTTGTTTATCTATTTTATATATAGTAGTGTGTATCTGTTAATCCCAAACTTCTAATTTATCCCCCCCTCCCTTTGGTAACCGTAAGTTTGTTTTCTATGTCTGTGAGTCTATTTCTGTTTTGTAACTAAGCTCACTTGTATCATTTTTTAAGATTCCACATGTAAGTGATATCATATGATATTTGCCTTTCTCTATCTGACTGACTTAGCAGTGACTTACTTGTAATCCAAGAATACGAGTATTTCCCTAGTTAATCCCTAGCTGATTAACTTAACTTCCACGCTAAATGTTCCCGGAGAGTGGTACATCCTACGGGTCCAGGTGGGTGAGAAGCAAGCCTAGAGGCTCAACCCTAGCAAGGAAGGGGCAGCTGGAGCGTAGGAGGAGAAAATGAGGTTCTGGGGGCTTTGGCCCTTAGCTAAAGAGCCCCATCCCAGCCCAGGCTGTCCTTGGGGCCTTGAGTAGAGATATTGCCAGGGGAATCCTGTGTGTGAATTCATCCTTGGAGTAGGGATAGGGCACCAGTCCACAAGGGCAGAGGGAGTGGGGATCCAAGGTAGATGGTTATGGGGTGCAGTCACCAGAGCCAGGCGGTGCCCCCCTTGGGGAGGGTTTCTGGGGAGAATACCTGGACACTGGTGGCTAATTTCATCACAGAGACTCAGCTAGTGAACAGTCTTTTCTCGTCAATGCCTCGAAGTCAGAGGGTTCTTAGAGATAGAAAACTTAACAAGATTCAAATGCAAAGAGACTTTAGGGAAACCAGACCAGGACTGTCTGGCCCTTCCCCTATTAGGTCCCCTTTCTTTCTTAGTTCCATGTCTGGCCGGGAGAGCCTCATTAGGAAAGGCTGGGTGTTTCTTTACACATGCATGTCTCTCTCCAGGCCTGAAAATGAGGCCCACCTCACCCCACCACGCTGCTGTGAACAGATATGTTTAAATTTCTTGAAGCTTGGGTGACATCCTCGGATAAGGAGCTCTAAGTACCAAGAATTATTGTTATTACTATGTAGTTACTGCCTAGCATGCAGCGAATTACCCTGCCCTGCTGTGTAAAAGATGTACAGAGGGATGGGGAAGTGTGGAGGGGGGAGGCGGGAGGAGGCGTAATGAAATGTACTAAAGAGGGGCCGGGCCCGGGAGCATCCCATGCTTAGGGTCTCCACCAGGCACACTCTTATGGCCAGAACAAATGATCTCTTTCCACTCAGCAAACAGAAGACAACACGAAGATGCTAGGATTGTAAAGGACGCACAACACGGGGCTTAAAGGCATGGATTTCAACCCCAACTCCAACACTTATAACTGTGTGCCTTGGACAAGCTCATGAGCCTGTGTGGCCTTGGTTTGTGGGAGCTGCCACATAGAAGGCTCCACATGGTTGTAGCAATTATTATTACTACTATTACTACAGCTATTATTAGGCCTTGGTCCAGTTGTCTATGATTTGCAGGACCAGTACAGAGTCTGAAGCATCGTTTTCAGAGTCAGGATTTCCCAGGAGAAACGGGAACCCACAGCCAGCGTGGAACCACCAAAGGAGGTCAAATGGACACCTCCAAGAATTGCCAAGGACCCTCACTGGGGGCGAGGAGGGGGAGTCTAAATTCAACCTTAAAGTAGTTCTTGAGAGGTGGCAGTATCGCTAATGAACTCTGGACTTCTGTTTATGAAAGAGCAGCCAATATGTCCTATGAGTGCTCAGTCCGTCTCTCCACCAAGAAGTCCTGAGACTCTTCTGGAAACCACAGCTGAACACTGTGCATTCAGTTCTTCTCCAGGGCATCAGGGGCAGATGTGGGGCCGGGTGAGCTTTACTGAGACTTATCCATCTCCACCTCAAGCGCACCACACAAGGCTGGGATGACCTCTGTGGCGACTCAGTGACGGGACGAGTTGACTAAGCCCGGGAGAGTCTACTGTAAGAAGCATCAAACATGGTGCTGCCACAGAGACATAAGACTCATATGATAGAGGACATAAGACAAAGCATCCAGGGAAATATGACTAACCGTACACGGTGAGAAATGACCGGAGAGTACGGGGTTTGGATTCCTGAAAGCTTCAGTGGTCAGAGGACACGTCACTGCTTCCTGAGAGATCATGGGGCAACTCACTAGAAAACATTCTATCTATTTTTTTTTAATTGAAGCATGGTTGATTTACAATTTGTGTTAGTTTCAGGTATACAGCAAAGTGATTCAGTTTTATATATATATATATATATATATATATATATATATATTCTTTTTCAGATTCTTTTCCATTATAGGTTACTATTACAGTATATTGAATATAGTTCCCTGTGCTAGAACATTTGATCTAGAATACAAATAAACACTCCCCCTCCCACAAAGATACACTTAGGTGATGTGCACATGCTGTCAGATTACAAGTGATTGCATCTCAATAACTTGTTGCTTGATCCACAAGTGGGTTGAGGGTGGTAGTTGGATTGTTTCCCACCCAATTGTTTGAAGTGATCTGATGATTTGGGGACATGTATCTAAAAGTACTCCCCCAACCAAGAAATTGAGTGATATGAATTAACTCAAAAGAATAAGCTTCACCCTGAATAAAAACCATGGTATCTGAGTGGCAGGAATTATGGGCTGTTGTATGTACAAGCCACACTCCTCATCTCGTATTTCCCACACTGTTTACCTTAGATTCATCTCTATCTTGGTATATTCCTGAAGTAGTCGAACTTCCAGGGTGGAGTATCATCACTCATCAGAGCATTTAATTGAAAGGTACCTCTTCCATCTTCCCTCTTAAAGGCTGAAGAATTGTTTCTCAAACTTCTCTCTCTTTTGAGCTAATAAAACAAAACAAAAACGCTTTTAAACAAGTAAAAAATACCCCACTAAATAGAACAGGCTGTGAGATGCCAAGCAATTTAAATTCCATTGCTATATTTTATTGAGTCTTTTCTATTTCAGGGCAACAGAGCAACTTAGCAGACTGGGAAACACATGGGCCTCCTGGATTGGGCGCAGCTCCCCTGTGCACGAAGCCTGTTTTGGAAGGAGGCTATTTGAAACCTGCTTCTTGCCGTCACTCTAGACTTTTAGCGAATTAATTTGGATTTAAGGAGTAAAAAAGAAAAAGAAAAGAATGGAAAAAACTCACCTTCCCTGTACATGGTAGAATTTCACTGGGGTGCAAAGTGGGGTTGGAGGAATATGACCACTCAGTCTGACTTACGATGCAGGATTTTAGGGGCTGGATAAACACGCTGTGTGTCACCCAGCTGCTTCCTAGACAAGGCGAGTAGAGGAGGATTAGGGAGGCCCCACCGGTGCGTGAGGAAGCAATGGTCTATTTTGAGCCCTTTTACTTGAAAAGCTCAAAGAAAGAATAATTGCATCCTCTGCTGGACTAAAAGTTTTCAACAAATGACCTGGCTTGGTTCTTTTAAAAAAATACAAAAGTGTGAGTGAACCCCACACGTGTCAGTGAGACAAGCAAGTGCTTTTGCTTGTTGGAGGTGATTTTTATGGAAAGTTGTACTTTGCAGATTGCGACCAACCCAGCACATCCTCCGCCCTCCTGCTCCTTTTCTCAGTTGGCTCTGAGGAAACATGCTTCCAAGTTTGAGAATTCATCTTGTCTGATTAATGATGTGTACACAGAGATTTTGGACTCATCTTCCTTCTCTTGGTCTTTTTTATTCCATTGTTTGCTGTGCTACAACCCTGCGGATAGATGGTTCTGCCGTGATAAATGTAAAGTTTGCATAAGCCATGTAACAGCAGGACAGCCTATTATCACTGTACATTTTCCATGGCTGTGCAAACCTCTGTAGGCTATTTTATTGCTAATAGATCCACAGAGAAACAGTAGTGATTTTACGACTCTTTTTAAAATGGAAATTCATGTTTGAGAAATACAACTGGGAGGAAACAGATGTAAACCACTTAAGCATTTGCAGAAAATTGAGATGCACACTCTTATTTACAGACCTACATAGCCTCCATCGCTTTATTTTCAAAATTAAAATGAGCAATCTGTTTACCGTGGGAAATGAGGAACTGTAAACTTGTTTTTTTCCCTTTACACAACAATGGCCGCCATCGTTGGTTTTAATGGCGGTGCTGAAACAGGATGGCAATTTTTTTCCCCTTAGATTTTATTGTCTAGAATGCATTCCCTCCATAATCTGTGTGAGAGGTAGGCAAGTGGGAAAGATTTTAGTATAACTGTATGTCTGAACTCATATCATGCTTTAACAGCTAAAATGATTACCAGACACTTTAGAAGGATTTAAACCAAGTATTTATCACTACCTGTAAATTGCTTAAAATATTGGAAGAGTAGACCAGCCTCTACAAAAAATGCTTTTATATGTCCAAACACAAAAGCCCAGCCCATTCAAAAAAATTTATTCTTGGGCTTCCCTGGTGGCGCAGTGGTTGAGAGTCCACCTGCCGATGCAGGGGACACGGGTTCGTGCCCCGGTCCGGGAAGATCCCACATGCTGCGGAGCGGCTGGGCCCGTGAGCCATGGCCGCTGAGCCTGCGCGTCCGGAGCCTGTGCTCCGCAACGGGAGAGGCCACAGCAGTGAGAGGCCCGCGTACCGCAAAAAAAAAATTTATTCTTGCCTTGTCCCAACCTTCACGTATCTTAAAAAATTGTGACAAATTTCACATGTTGGAAAGGAGAGGTAAATCAAACTATCACGGAACAACACATCAATGAGATATCTGTGTGCTGGATTCACCAGAGCAAGTTCCTTATGACATGTGCAGGCTTCTCTGATTTCTTTTTTTTTTTTGGGGGGGGGGGTTTGGAATGACATTTTAAACAATTGTGGTAAAACATACATAACATAAAACTGATCACTTTAACCATTTCTAAGTAGGCGATTCAGCAGCATGAAGCACATTCACATTGTTGTACAGCCATCACCACCATCCATCTCCCAAACTTTTCCGTCATCCCAAAGGGAAACTCTGTACCCATTAGACACCAACTCCTCATTAACCCCCCCGCCGCCATGGTCCCTTGTAACTTCTACTCTACTTCTGTCACTATGAATGTGACAGTTCTGGGTACGTCATATAAGTGAAGTCATACAATATTTATTCTTTTGTGTCTGGCTTATTTCACTCAGCACAATGTCTTCAAGGTGCATTAGTGTCATAGCACGTGCCAGAATGTCCTTCCTTTTCAAGGTTGAATAGTATTCCCTTGTTTACATAAGCCACATTTTGCTTATGCACCCGTCTGCCAATGGTCGTCTGATTCTAATATTGAGAAGAATCCCAGCACCACAGGGAGGGAGGTGGCCCACCTTTACTGCAAACCAGGCCATGACAAGCCAAGCAGAAGGAGAACTGTCCAGGATCAGCTCTGCAAAGCAAGGCAGGGAGGCCTCCCATGAACTATATATAGATTTCTGGCTCTGTGCAATCCCCAGCTGGGTGAATCTTTTGCTTTCATCTTAGATCTTTGTTTTCAACGTGAAAGGAGGCTACACGAGAGCCTGTTAGAAACTGAAATTCTTCTCAAAGACAAATTACGATGGGCTTCAGCCCAAGATTGGAGAATAGAACGTATCCTCCAGGCTCCTTTGTAACCTCAATACCTCCCCCAAGCCTCCTGGAGGAAGGTATTGGGAGATCCCCTGATCACAGCCTTTGAGTCACATCCAATGAGGCCCAGGCACAGCAAGTCAGCCTCTGAGCTCATCCATCCTTAGTGGAAATCATGCTCTGCAGAGATGGTACTCAGTACACTCACAAGCCTATGTGCCGTACCCCACTCTCTCACGCCAAGGCATTAAACAACTGTCGGCCATTTACCTTGCTATCTCCCGGCCCACATGATGTATCGCAGCTTCTGTTTATGGCCTCTTGGTGACAAAAGCTGATTACAGACCTGACGGGAGAAAGCTTCGTGGCCGGACTGCTGTTGTTGCTGTCATAATCACCACGGTTTTCCATGGACTCACCCACATTCTCCACATCGTTGGGTGTTCTTACTAACAAAGTAGGGTATTTCACAGTATCTGTGAAATTCATCCCTGTCACCAGTGTATTATCAAATAATTAAGGAACCTTGGGGATGTGCCTAAACAGTGCTGACATTTTACAAGGGAAAATGGACGTTTGTTGAGAGGAAATCTTATTAATAGAGAGATTCTCTGGCATTACATATGTGTTGTAACATTACCATGGATGAAAAAATTTTGCACATATTCACTTATTTACTGTACACAGCAATCCTGTGAGGTCTTCAGGGTGGCTCTATTTGCCCCATTTGATTGATGAGGTCAGGTGATTTGTCCATGGACTTCAGGCAAAGCTGCTGTTTCTTCTGAGGCAAAGCCCACCTCTCTGCCCAGCGATGCAATCCTCATCTCCGTGCTTTCTGGCTTTCTCTGTGGAGTCACAATCTTTTGCCCTCTTTAAATTCTCCCCCAGGCTCTCATTGCCTCTGCTCTAATTCACCCCACATGCCTCATTCTCACTTCCAAAACGGCTTGCCACTCTCACCAATGCTAATATGAATGTCAGCATTTCTTGAGCGTTACCTAAATATCAAGACATGTGTTGCCTCAATTACTCCTTAAAGCAACGCTGTGAGAGAGGTTTCATTGTGAATCCCATCACAATGGGATGAGGAAACTGAGGCACAGAGAGATCAATTAACTTGCTCAAAGTCACACAGCTAGTCAGTGGGGAGCAGGGGCTTGAACTGAGGCAGTCTGACTCCAGAGCACATTAGTTGTTGCGCCCAAGAGGCCCTGCGGGGCTTCATCCGCTGTCTCCTCCCTGCTGCAGGGTGGTCTGTGTCCACTGCCCCTCTCTTGAAGAGAATGAATAGAGTACTTGACCTTGACCTACTAAGTGGAGCAGTGATAAAGTTCTATTTTTTTTTGTTGTTGTTGTTGCGGTACGCGGGCCTCTCACTGTTGTGGCCTCTCCCACTGCGGAGCACAGGCTCCGGACGCGCCTCACGGGCCCAGCCGCTCCGCGGCATGTGGGATCTTCCCGGACCGGGGCACGAACCCGTGTCCCCTGCATCGGCAGGCGGACTCTCAACCACTGCGCCACCAGGGAAGCCCCCGGACCCTTTGCTTTTAATATATACCAAGGTTGGATTACAAACTTCTCTAAACTTGTTAGCAGTATTTTTTTTCTTTACCAGTAACAATGAAGGACAGAAATACCACCTTGCCTTCGGGGTCAGAAATGGGTTTGTGTCTGAAGGACATTAACCCTTTGCTTTCCATATTGGAGAGAGAGCACACAGAAGAATAATCCAAAACTCCAGATTCTGGTGTGTTGTTCTTTTATTATTTATTTATTTATTTATTTTGCGGTACGCGGGCCTCTCACAGTTGTGGCCTCTCCCATTGCGGAACACAGGCTCCGGAGGCGCAGGCTCAGCGGCCATGGCTCATGAGCCCAGCCGCTCCGCAGCATGTGGGATTTTCCCGGACCGAGGCACGAACCCGTGTCCCCTGCATCGGCAGGCGGACTCTCAACCACTGCGCCACCAGGGAGGCCCCAAATGTGTTGTTCTTTTAGTTGACTTGTTCTTTTAGTCTCAACCAATCAGAAAAACAGTCCTCCTACAGGCATCTTGTGCAGCAAGAGGAGAGGTTTGGGTGATCCGAGCTCAAATCCCAGCTCTGCTCCTTTCTAATGCCGTGAGCTTCATCAACGTGATTCACTTCTGTGAGTCCTAAATTCTTCTTCTTTAGGGCAGATTAACAATAATCCATCATTAAATGAGATAATGTACATGGAACATCTCAAACTGTACATAGTAGGTGCAGAATAGATGACAGCTATCCAGATCATGAGAACAAATCCAAAGCCACAGAGGCCTCACCAAAGGGCTGAGCTTGGGGAACTGGGCTGAAATTAATTAGGTTGTGTACCTTCAAAGGTCATCCAGAGTTACAGTAATATGACCAGAAGCAAATTAACTTGGGTCTAGAAGCCCAACTCCTTCCTCCCTCAGAGGACCACCTCAGACAAATGAGCAGTCCAGCCTCTGTTCAGGAAGGAAATGTGAATTCAGTCAACAGGTCCAGGCCTCTGCTGAGAGCAATATAAATTAATCAGAATTATAGATCATTTTAATAAGAGGTCACTTTGGAAACCTGAGGACAGTTATAGTTGATTTAGGCTAGTGTGAGGACTGTAAAGAAGACACCTTGGGTCTTTAAGTCCTATAGCTTCCTTTGGGTAATTACAAAGAAATACAGTAGTGTGTAGAGGTACACCTCTCCATGACCTTCCATGGATCAGATGCACATCCCTGCCAATCAAAACCAGTACTTCAGGCTTCCCTGGTGGCGCAGTGGTTGAGAGTCCGCCTGCCGATGCAGGGGACGCGGGCGTGTGCCCCGGTCCGGGAGGATCCCACATGCCTTGGAGCGGCTGGGCCCGTAAGCCATGGCCACTGAGCCTGCGCGTCCGGAGCCTGTGCTCCGCAACGGGAGAAGCCACAGCAATGAGAGGCCCGTGTACCACAAAAAAAACAAAAAAAACAACAACAAAAAAAACACAGTACTTCATTCAATAAAAGTTTGAGATAATGTGGTTTTCCTACTGTATTAGATGTCCTGTCTACCACACGAGGGCTATGACCACATTCCTCAGCATTGGATGGTATTTCAAATGCCATTTGCTTTACCCAAATCAAGGCCCTAAAAGTGACAGTTCTATTTTCTGTACTCACAGGCAATAGTATAGCATGTGGACAAACAGCCTTTGATCCTAATCCTGTCTGTCACCTCCTACACGTGTGACCAGCTCCCTCGACTGAGAAATGAGAGTCTTTGTTAATGAGAGTAATTAAACGAGTTAATGCCTGTGATATATTTTGTCCAGTGCCTGGTTCATAGTAAGTGCCCACTAAAATGATGGAATAAATGGTAGCTACTCATAGATGGGTTGTATGGATTCTAATAGAAACATAATGGGTAATTAATTTTAGCTGAGTTAGACTTGTTTTAGGCTGGGGCTTCTCAAGGTAGATTTAAAAAGCCTTTGAAAAAGCCATAGACATAATGCCGGCCCACAGATTTGAGACCCAAAGTAAGAAGGAAAAGCCCAGGAAGCGTTATTCACTCTTTCTCTTCCTTTTTAGTTTGGTTTTCAAAAGAAGCTACCCTCACACATTCCCTTCCCCACTGCCCTGAGGATACTGTAGTGTGTTTTGTGTTCATCACTCCTCTGCTTTATCCAAAGTTTCCTGCCTCTCCCTGAAAGATGTATTTTTAGATCTGCCTCATCATCTTTTTGCAGGATATTACGTTTGTGAGAGTCATCCACGTGGTCACAATTTATTCACTTTCAGGGCTGTATTCCTTGGTACAAATATACTCCAGTGTGTTCTTCCAATCTATTGTTTTTGGGCATCTGCATTGTTTCCAGTCTTTGCTCCTATGAACATTCATATCCACTAGGAGCACGCAACAATGTTTCCAGGGTCCTTATGATGAATGACTTTAGAATTTTACTGAATTCTGTACCTATTGAGATGATTTTGTGGTTTTTCTCCTTTCATCTCTTAATGTGGTAAATTAAAGTAACAATTTTTTTCTAATATTGAACCAATGGTGCATTTCTGGCATAAAACCTACTTGAGAGCTTGTTTGGAGGTTCTAGCAGGGGAGTGCAGCTACTCACATACCCTGGACCCAAGAACAGTCCTCCGCTGTGGGGGAAGGTCATCCTCTTCGATGGAGCACACAGCTTGGCGATGGATGCACATGGAGCTGTGAGGAGGGAAGGGGACACCCGCCTAGGCTGCCAGATCAGCCGAATCAACCCTGGCGATCAATGGGGTGACAGATGTCGCAGCCAGATCGCCCTCACATCCCATAAACCCTACTTTATCTCTTTGTTGCACAATTTGGTTTACTTTTATTTAGTATTTATAGATCGTGATCCACCTTCACCTAGATTTGGTATCAAGATTACACCAGCATCAATAAATTACTATTTCTTTCTCCCCACCCTCCTTCCCGTCCTTCCTCCTTTCCTTCCTCTCTCTCTCTTTTCTTTTCTTTTTTTTTTTTTAATGCTTGAGAAGAGCTTGTGTAAGAGGACAACGATTTATGTTTTGAAAGGTTGATGGACCTGGAGTTTTTGTTGTTTTTAGCTATTACAAGTAAAGCTGCTATAAACATTTGTGTACAAGTTTTTGTCTGAGCATAAGTTTTTATTTCTCTGGGATAAACTGTTTTAGCCCAGGAGCACAATTGTTGGGTCAAATGGTAGTTGCATATTTAGTTTTTTTAAGAAATTGCTGAACTGTTTTTCAGAGTACTTGTACATTTTATGCTCCCACCAGCAATGTCTGAGCCATCCAGTTTCTCTGCATCCTCAACAGCATTTGGTACTGTCATTATTTTGTATTTTAGCCACTCTGATAGGCTTGTAGCAATATCTCACTGTGGGTTGTTTTTCTTTGCGGTACGCGGGGCTCTTACTGTTGTGGCCTCTCCCGTTGCGGAGCACAGGCTCCAGACGCGCAGGCTCAGTGGCCATGGCTCACGGGCCCAGCCGCTCCGCGGCATGTGGGATCTTCCCAGACCGGGGCACGAACCTGTGTCCCCTGCATCGGGAGGCAGACTCTCAACCACTGCACCAACCAGGGAAGCCCCTCACTGTGGTTTTAATCTGCATTTTCCTAGTCTAATGCTGTTGTCCATCTTTTCATTTGCTTATTTGCCATCTGTATATCCTTTTTAGTAAAATACCTCTTCATGTTATTTGCCCATGTTCTAATTGATTTGTTTGATATTTTTCTGTTGAGCTTTGAGAGTTCTTCATACATTCTAGATACTAGTTCTTCATTCCACAGATTCAATTGATAACATTTCCCTTATTTTTTGTCATTTTAAGCATCTTCTCATTTCCATCAAGAACCATGAGTAACCATGGGTTACTTTAAAGTATATTCTTTAAAAGTTCAAAACAAATGGATTTTTAGAAATTATCTTTTTGTCATTTATTTATAACTTAATTTCATGGCAGTCAGTGACTGTGACTTGACTCATACCAATTATTTGAAATTTTTCAATACTTGCTTTTGGTTTATAATGTGGTCAACTTTCATGTATGCTTTCTGTGTGCTTCAAACGAATTTCTATTTTCTGATTATTAGGGATAGTTTTTAAGTTCATCCATTAGATTAAGCTTGTGATGTTCAATTCTTCTGTATTCTAATTGATATTTTTTCTCTGCTTGATTTACCAACCACTGAATGTCTCCCTCAATCATGATCGATTTGATAGTTCCTTTTTATCTTCTATCAATTCTTGTCTTTTGTATTTTGAAGATTTGTTACTGAGTACATACAGGGTCCTGGTGAATTCAATACTTTTAAAAATATGGGGCTTCCCTGCTGGTGCATTGGTTAAGAATCCGCCTGCCAATGTAGGGGATGTGGGTTCGAGCCCTGGTCCGGGAAGATCCCACATGCCACGGAGCAACTAAGCCTGTGCACCACAACTATTGAGCCTGCGCTCTAGAGCCTGCGAGCCACAGTTACTGAAGCCCGTGCATCTAGAGCCCATGCTCCGCAACAAGAGAAGCCACTGCAAGCCCGTGCACCGCAACGAAGAGTAGCCCTCGCTCGCCGCAACTAGAGAAAGGCTGCACACAGCAACAAAGACCCAAGGCGGCCAAAAACAAATAAATAAATTAATTAAAATAAAAAATATGTACTAATACTCATTATCTATAGTAATGCCTTTTACCTAAGGTCTGTTTTATCTGGTGTTATTACACTAGCTGTCTTTTGGATACCATCTGCCTGTTGTTCCTCAGATTTGTTCTCCCCTCTCTTATGACATGATTTTTCCTCTCTCCCATTTTTAGCTGGAGCCTCGATCTCCTGAGTAAAAACTCAGCAGCTAGGTGTGGCCATGTGACTAATTTCCGGCCAACGAGATGAAAATGTTGGGTTGTTTGACAGCTTTCAAGAACCTACCTTAAGAGGAAGTGCAGGATGTGCCATTTCTTCTTCTTCATCCTTCCTTTATCCTGAATCCTGGAATGCAGATGCTGCCATCTGGGACCATCTGAGACAAGGCTACCTATTGTGAACCAAAAGAGAGAAAGAGCCAGAGGCACCCACATAAGGCTAGTTGCTCTCAGGTATGAGGTAACCATTGACAAATCAGTCCATGAGTCCTCAACAGTAAATATGGCCAACAGTTTGAAGGTCAAGCCACAGCTGGTCCATCTCCATGGGCCGATGGCCTGCTTTCCACTCTAAGCCAATAGGCCAGACAGAAAGCTCTGGTCCCAGAATCCTCCCTGGGGAACATCAGGCCTGTCTAGTGTCACTGCCCACGTTAGATAGCTCCCAGATGGCATCAGGGCCCTGATGCCCATGAGGTTAGGAATCTGCACAATTCATCCTTCCTGCATTCCTCAAATCTGGTCCAAGCACAACTTTAATTTTCCAGCAATGTTTGAAGCCTAATATTCTTGACTAAAGCAGAAAATAGGCAAGCAAAATGTCCACTAAGAGTTTAAAACTAAGAGTTTTAAAATGTGTTCCCTTGGCTTCTTACTAAATTCTGTTCCAAGTGTATCTTATCACTGACATTTTAAAATTTTAAAATTAGCTATATAGGGCTTCCCTGGTGGCGCAGTGGTTGAGAGTCCGCTTACTGATGCAGGGGACACGAGTTCATGCCCCGGTTCGGGAAGATCCCACATGCCGCGGAGTGGCTGGGCCCGTGAGCCATGGCCGCTGAGCCTGTGCATCCGGAGCCTGTGCTCCACAATGGGAGAGGCCACAACAGTGAGAGGCCCACGTACCTCAAAAAAAAAAAAAAATTAGCTATATAGTTTCGCTATATATCCTGCTAATATTGAGCTGAATTGGATTCAGAGATGAGTAGTATAGATACACTGAGTTCATAAAGTCTTGCTTCCTAAGTTTCCTGGACAGCTGCTTAAAAATTTAGGTCTGGCCTAACAGTCCTCTAATGGGTAAGTTTTTTCTTTCTTTCATAAGTAGAGAAATAAGGAATTCTGCTAAATTGAAATATAATTTTCTTATACTAATTGCTATAAGTAAAGGGCTACCATTTCTATGACTCTGCCCATGCTCAAAGTCTCTGTGGTGACACCCTGAAAGATTAATAATCTTCTGAAATAATTAGCTATTTCCTTTTTTCCTTCTCTTGAGGAAAAAAAGTTGAGGCTGATGAAGTTTCCTGTTCCAGTGTCCGAAGGTGTGTGCTTGTAGACAGCACCCTCTCATCACACCTGTGGCTCTCAGGTTTGGGTGTGCATCTGCGTTCCCTGGGAAGTGGGTTCCCATACCACACTCCTCTAGATTCCCAAAACATACTCCTGTAGATTCAGGAGGCTTAGAGAAGGGTTCAGGTATCTGTATTTTTATTAAGTCCCCAGAAGATTGTAATGCCTTCCAAGATGAAAAACCAGTGCATTTTCTTCCTGGATTATCCATGCTTCCTCCTTGTCAAGATAGGGAAGGGCAGGAGGGCATGGGGCTGCCACACCAGGTGAGTTCTCCAGGGCTGGTCTGGTGGGTGATAACTGTCATCCTACAGGGGATACCAAAACCAGGGGAGAGGGAAGAACAGCTCAAGTTCACCAAGCTGATAAGAAATCGCCCAACCTGTTGCCAGCACCAATGAGGCCATGACTGGGAAGTCAGGAATCCAATGGAAGCTGAGAAGCAAAAGCATGGGTCCAAGGGAGAGGCCAGGGCCACTGTGAAGGTCAAGTGTTGTCTTCTACTTGTGGCTAGGGTGTAGGTGGGGCAGCTACACCTTGAGCATCAGCATTGTCTGACAGCTGGAGCAGACTCAATCAGTCTGTGATTTTTCCAGGAATTATTGACTGAGAAACTGGTGGAGAGAGGAGCTGCCTGAACATAACTACTTGATCTGCTATTGGGTCGGCCAGCTCCTTAAGAGGTAATACTTTGGGACCCTGAAAACAGAAGCAGAGGTTGGAATCCTGACTCTGCCATCACCACGCTGTGACCTTGGACAGGCCAAAGTCATCTCCCCAGGGCTGACCAAGTCAGCACTTGGTCAGTGTTGGTACATTTGAGAGCAGACTCCTCGTGGTTTTGCTTTTTATATTTTTGTGATTGATCACCAGGCTTTAAATACAGTTGGTACCCAAAAAATACCCGTTGAATGAGCAGATTCTAAAAAAAATCAAAAGAAAGTAATCAATGTGATGTGATTCATTGATAAACAGCAGGCTTATCCTGTCTCTGAAACTTAACTCAGCCATGCTCAGCCAAGGCAAGATTTCGAGGCAAATGGATAAATAACGGTGGTAAGGACCTAAAGACTATTTAATGAACAAATGAATGGTTAAATGAATGGATTGTTAAAACTAAATTACTGTGTAGACATTCAGTCACAGGATGCTAAATACCCACATAAAAAATGATGCCAAAAAAGTATGTTTGCTATTAAAAGTCAATTAAATATTTCAGTAAATCCAAATATCTGGATATCTGGGTTAAGTTCATCAAATGACTGATTCTTGACTGAATTTTTCATTTTAATTGAGTCTCTTTTGAGATGGTGTAGCCTGAGTCACTCTTGAGGACACAGTGAAGGAGAAATGTGAGGAGGCATCATGCTCATGGGTAGCCTTGGACTGTCTCATGAGTTCAAGTTGCAAAGAGAATTTCAATGTCACCACAGTCATTGCAGGTTCACAGTGAAGGAATCATTTCAGAGTTTCTATTTTTAGATTCCATCATAGTAAAATAGGGCTTTGAAGTTTTCCAAGACCTTTATCTCATAGTTTTTAATTAAGGAGAACTGCATTATCACTGAAGTATATAATCTTCTCGGAGCTATAAAGTCCAGCTGATGGCCAATTACATTTTAATCCATTCAATGAAATTTCCTAATAAAATATCTGATCAATGAATATTTGTATTGTGCATGCTTTACACTAATACATGGTGTGTGTGTGCTTGCATACATCAATACTGTTCAGGCTTTTCAGCCTTATAGATTTATACCCAATTTGCTTTCAATGTTTCCTGCATTTTTTGAGCAAAATCCCTTGTTCAGTTTAAATTTCTAATATTCAAATTTATATCTAGATGTTAGTAACCAGAGGGAAATTATTTAGCCACCGCTATGTATTTTACATGCAGATTTTTATGGAGTTGCACTAAACCAAGCATTGCAATATATGGTGTGCCAATTTGTTGCTGGTTTTTTTTTTTCAGTATATTAACTACAGAATTGTAAAATGAAAGAGGCGAGAATTTCTCACCCCAGTCCATGAGTTGTATGTGGCAGTTCAAAAAGCCCAGGAGTTCTGCCAGCAACTCAACTGAATCCGAACATTTCTCTCCTTAGGATGCTACTTTTTGTGCAGTGTTTTTCTCTAACCCTGGGAAGGGACGATTAAATAAATAATGAATAAACATGTCTCATTGAAGGGACTTTGACGTTTCATCTAAGTTTACACGTTAATTAAGATTGTTCTAGTCCCCCCCAAAGGGTATTTTTTTTCTTTTGAGCAACTAGACTGAAATATAGTATAAAAGCGTATGAACACTCTGTTAAATGCACAGATTTAACCCAGCCGTTTTGCTTCTAATCATTATTAATTGCCTCCAGTGGTGGACATTAATTTCCCTATTGCAGCAACATGCATCTTGAGCTTGGGCATATCCTAATACATCAAACGGGACAGGTGATATAATTCAGTTGGTCACAGCTGGGAAGGAGACAGCCACCCACATGCAGGCAGTCTGTCAACCTTAGTTACACCGCAGACACCACCACAGCCTCCGAAACAACGTTGTACATTTATCTCTGGCGATAACGTTACATGAAGTATGGCCGCTTGGTTCATCCTATTTAATCTGTTATTGTCTTAGCGACTACAAGAATCAAACAGTTGAAACTCAAAACTCTGAATTTGTTCCTAGCCATTGGAGGGGGAGAAAACGGAGACAAATGGTCAAACTCATGGTTCCGATGAAGTGATAAGTGCTTGGTTCAGTGTGGATTATATCTGAAGATAGATGTCATCACAGGATGTAGAGTGAGCCACTAGTAATGTTTACTGTGATGTGATTTCAGGGTCCTGCCCTGCTCCGTGGACCTTTAGGAGATCTTGACAAGTTGCTCGTAGTACCTTGTGTTTATACAAGACTGGCTCTTTGGAACGAAGTTATTAGCTTTGTTATCCTCAAAGATTAGCTCAAAGCTTCTCAGTGGTAACACAGAGGAAAGAGGTAGGGTGGGTATTAGAGTCGATCGGCTGAGAGAAATGAGATGATGATGAGGCTGTGTTGAATTATGAGCCAACATCACAGCTGCAACTAGGACTCAAGGCCAAATGTTGGCCCTTGAGTCTGGCTCTCCCTGAAGAGGTACTTCCTCTTCCTCTGCAGGATTCATTCTAAGTAAGAAAAATGCAAATCAAAACCACAATGAGATATCATCTCACACCCATTAGGATGGCCACTATCAATAAGTGTTGGCAAGGATGTGGAGAAATCGGAACACTTGAGCACTGCTGGTGGGAATGTAAAATGGTGCAGCCGCTACGGCGAACAATATGGTAGTCCCTCAAAAAATTAAAAATAGAGCTACCATATATACAGCAATTCCACTTCTAGGTACATATCTGAAAGAATTGAGAGCAGGATCTCTAAGAGATATTTATACATCTATGTTCAAAGCAGCGTTATTTACAGTAGCCAGGAGCCGGAAGCAACCAAATGTCCATCGACAGACGAATGAATAAAGAAAACGTGGTACTATATAAATACAATGGAATACTACAGCTTTAAATACGCAGCCTTTAAAAGGAAGGAAATCCTGTCACAGGTTACAACATGGATGAGCCTTGAAGACGTTATGCTAAGTAAAAGAAGTCAGCTGCAAAAGGACGAATGCTGAATGCTCCCCCTCATATGAAGTATCTAAAGTCAAAGTCATAGAAACAGAAAGTACAAAGGGTAGGGAAGGGGAATGGGAATTCCTGTTCAGTGGGTATAGAGTTTCAGTTTTGCAAGATGAAAACATTCTAGAGATCTGTTGCACAGCATCGTGAATGTACTTACTACTAAACTGTACACTTAAAATGGTTAAGATGGTAAATTTAATGTTATGTGGTTTTCACCACAATACAAAATACATATAGACAGATATATAAATCGAAAAGTCTAGAGGAATATCCACACAATGTTTACAGTGTTAGAATTATGGGGAATATTTTCTAATTTTTTTGTTCTCATATACCTATATTTGTAATTTTTCTCTACAATGATATATATTGGAATTCTGTCCAGAAGTTAGTTTATCATAGTAACTACCTTTTCTAAAAATAGCCCCAGGCCCACAGGTGTCTTGCCTAAGGACACAGAGAGTCAGCAGCAAACCAGGAGGAATGTTGAGTCATTTGCTCACCCAGCAAGGTGGGTAAACACGCAAGTATGCTCCTGTCTTGCTCCACATCCAGGGACGTAAATTATTTCACAGTAGGATTCGCTGGACATTCTCTACCAAGGCATTCTTAGGATTTTCTTTACCACCACCCAGCTCCCCATCTGCCCAGAGTCAGCTCAAGTAAAACCTCCCAGTGGGATGCCACTCATCACGGAACTTCCTCTCATCTCTCTTTTTGCATTTACCATATCCTGCCTTGTTAATAGTTCTTTGTGAACCTGTTTTCTCTTTCTCATTAGATGATAAACTCTTTGAGGGTAAGATCCATGTTTGCTGCATTTGTGTATCTCCAAACACAGTGTCTACTCATGGCGACCCCTGGAGGGGTAGCCGCTAAATGAATGACAATGAATGAACAAATCAGTGAGTGAATCAATGAATGACATGATCACTGAACTCTCAATGAGCAAATCAACAAATCAAGTCAGCTAGGACAAAATTTTTCCCACGAGTTCTGGATTGGTTCTTATTTTATCCAAAGCAGCAATCCTTATCCTCAAAACTTCTTTTTGATCAAGGAATTTTTATTCTTTGTACTTAATAAGAATTATAAAAAGAATTACAATAATAATTATAACTATGTCATCTCAGCCCCATATTTTAAATAATATGAATCCATTTTTACCTCAATAAAGGCAAATTTTCATTGTTAAATTTGCTTTAGCAGGGAATCTCAGACTTTTATACAAAGACAGGATATATGCTTTATAAAAATGGTTTTATCATATGTCTCCAACCTGGTCCCTGGGGAAAAGTTACAGGTGGGTCCTATTTTGTATATTAGAGATGCCTCTTTGTGTAAATAAATTTTTCATAAATCAAATTATAGTTGGGATATCATAGGGGCACCACTATTTCAATGGAACTTTCCAGAAGGGTTCTGTAAAAACAAGCTTTGCAAAGCAAGTAACCAGACATCATTTGTACTGTTTGTAAACTTTGCTATATAAGATTTTCTAAAAGTGCAGCATGAGGTTTTATCCAATGGTTTTGGCATTAGGTTAAAAAAAAGGTAGCAAAATACATTCGCAGCCTCTGCACGTAAGGCGTACATAAGTCTAACCACCACAAAGAATCAGGATTCCGTAAGACAGATCCCAGGCTTGCAGTGACTGTCACTCTTTCCTTGCTTTCATCTCCCCTGCCTTTCCAGAGGAGATTCTTGCAGGATCCAGGCCTGAGCACCGCTTTCTTCCAGAGCTTCCACCACAGCTGTTTATTTTTCTCTCATTCTGTTTTCTCTTGGAAGACTCTGAACTCCCCCTGAAAAGCCGGCCTCAAACGTCTTTGTCAACTTTAACTAGAGGGCCTGGCTGGCTTTTGCAAGAGTCCCTCCCTGCAAGATTCACTGTCCCTTGCCTTCCTGCGAGGAGGTCTGGCCACGATGCTTGGACTGCTTTTCACTCACACGGAGGTGAGATTCACAGCCAGGCGGGCGATGATGGGCTTCAGATGGCAGATAGGCCGTGTGCCGCCAGCACCGCCTCAGACGTGGAGCTCCTCTGGGGTTGCTGTCAGGGACTCACACAGGACATTTTTGTTATCTAGGCAGAATGTGTGTCTGGGTTAAACTGTCAGTGTCACCGTGTCACCGAGTTCTCTGCTGAGCCCGAGACAGGCCTTCCCTATCAGTGATGGCTACAGCAGGCTGGGATCAGCTGCCTGTCCAAGCAGCCTGCTTTTTGCAGCCACAGTGTTTACAGGGCATCACAGGCAGCCGCCAGGACTGGGATCAGCATTCTCTCTGAGTTTGCAAGGGAACAAAGACTACTCCGAAAGACTCACGTGGAGGAAAAAGCATGATAAGATGTTCTGTGACTACAGAGACGCCTTTTGCAACCACGTACGGTCATGCTGTTAATTAAAAGAGTTAAACTTGGAAGTTAGACTTTGATGCAATGTGTTGTTTCCATTCTTGGAAATACAGTCACGAGGAGCTAATAAATAATCCATGAATGCTCATCTTTTTAAGTCATTTCAAAGGCATGAAGTCGGCCTGGATAATTGTAAATGCAATGGCTCAAGCCCAACTCCATTAAAATGGAAAGGTGTGAACTGATTAGATACTCAGCTGCTTTTGATAGAAGTCTTAAATTCAAATGCCACATCATTTGTTTTTAGCAAATGGAGTAATTACAATAATATTTTCTTCATTTTTAAGGTCAGATCTCTTTAAAGTCTACGTGCCTGTGCCTTATTTAAATGCAGCCATAATAATTTTCCCTCCATTTGTTAATTAAATGTGTAGGTAGCTTAAAGGTAACATCCACCCTTATTTTCTCTGGAGGGGAAATAAATAAATATTCCAGGTGTCTAGCTCCAAGTTTGGAGGGGAGAGTTATAATGCTATTTCATTTCAGATATTATTAGTGAAATGGAAATTAACCTGATTTTCCACCCTAGTAACTCTATTCTTGCTGAGAAAGATAGCTTTTGTTTAAAGTGAAGGTGTTTTCCTACTGCTGTAGCTTCTCAAACCTATTGAGATCTGAATTTTTTTTTAGTTGATAAAGGATTCATTCAGTGGTGAAGTCAATACTTTTTAATATTCTTGTAGCATCAATGCCCAAAGCAAATTTTGTAAATACTTACCTCTTGTGGGAATTGCAGTATGTTAACAAATATGTATTTTTCTAGGATTTTGATAAATACCCGAGAAGTTTTTTATAAGGGAAAACTAAACAAGATTTTATTGTTTCAACTGGGCCTGGCATTTTAAATAAGCCCCCAAAAACCACAAAAAACAAAACTGATCTCTGCTTACTATAAATTAAAAGGTTTCCTTTTGCCTCCTTCCTCCAGGCTGTCGGGGAGTTAAGCTCCGGAAGTCAGTCGCTGTACAGAAGTGATGAAACCGGAAGCAATCGATTTGCTCAGGAAGGGCAAGTCTGGTTACAACTGGGTCCAGAAATCTCCAGATGCACCCCTCTTCTGTACTGTCAAAATATTTAAATTTCCTGCAAGCAAGTAGTTGGTCAGTCTACTTTCAGGATTGTAGCAAAACAAAAGAATTAATAAAAGGATTCAACAAAACCAGGTAATACAGACCAGAAAGGAAACCATCGATTCAGCTGGCTTGGTCCCTGGGCAGAGTTCTAACCAGGTCTAGCAGGATTCCTGGAGTGTCCCTTCCAAAATATCTATTTGCAGCGATTCTGATTCCAGGGTCCACAGGAGCCAGGTGTCTGTCCTCTGGTGATGATGGTATGCAACCCTGGGGAGGGATCACTCATGTTTTATTATTCATCTGTTTATGTACTAGAAAGAAAATGTAGGGCTGAAGGTGGGGGTGAAGAATACACTTGGAAATATTTAACCCATGCTAACAAAAGCTGGAGAGAGGCAGCTCTGTGACAGACATGGCCCCCGACCCCAAGAGTGGGTCTGTGTTCGAGTCCTCCCCATCTTAGCTGGGCAAACTTGGACCCTCAATTTATCTTCTCCAAGATTCAGCTTTCTCATATGTAAAACAGGACAATCTATTACCTCCTTCATTAAATTTAGGAGAATTAAATGAGTTAACGAATGTAAAATGAAGGCAATTAACAATGTTTAGTACATAGTGAGTGCTAAGCCATTATTATTTACAGATCTGTAGACCTCCTTAAAAAAAAAAGGTCTACAGAACTGGAAAGGATTTTAAAGGTGTTCAAATCCAGCCCTCCCTCCAGCATCTCACGCACATCCCATTGGAAACTTGAATGTGTTGGCTTATTGATTATGGAAGACATGTTTAGACAGCAGGGAGAGAATACTAGCTTGAGGAAAGGCTTGGAGATAACCTTGACAAAGAATTTTGAATGTCACTGTAATCAACAAGGGAACTGGTTAAGGTAAAGTTTCCTTCATGGGTGTTACATGTTCCAAGCATCAATTTGAGACCTGACCTGACTGCTGGGCGTAGAACACATGGAAAGGTAGTACATAGCAGGGGTGTGAGGTCAGGTGGCCTTGACCTGGGAAGGAGGTGGGGGTCGGCAGTGAGACTAGAAGGAAAGAGCGAGGTGTGAGGGTGACTCTGAAGTTTAAAGAACAAGTTGAAGGGCTGGAGGGTGAGACAGAATGCGGGATTGAGGGTTCTGTGTTTTGAGTCCAAAGAGAATTTTGTGCAGGCCCTGGTGATGAAAATTTCTGCCGGAATTTTTAAGGTTGTGCTCTCCTTTTAGCTTTGTAATAATTTGATTGTACTCATCTGTGTTCCACAAGGCAGGATATTTATTACCTCTGTGTAGATTCACATAACTGAATTCTGTATGTATGGGAGTGTAATAAAAAGCAGCTGGTGTTTATTGAATACTCACTGTGTGTCTGCCAGGTACTAAATTAACTTCCTTAGTTCTCACAGCAACCCTGAGAGGTGGATACTATCCTTTTCCCCATTTCACAGATGGGGAAACTAAGGCACTGAGAGGTCAAATGGCTTTTTGAAAGCTACTCACTGAGTAAGTGGGGAAGCGGGGATTTGAGCCCAGGCAGCGTGCCTCCAGAGTCCTGGTCCTTGACCCCTGGGAAGGGATGAACACTACGCAATCTTCCCAAGGTCACAGCTGAATGGTGATCACATTGGGATTCAAACCCAGGTCAGATGCCAAAGCCCAGGCTCTTTCCTTTATTCCCCAGCCGACCCCAGAGACGACATTAGCAATTCAAAGACCAGGTTCAATCACTGCTTGGGGGTAAAAGTTGTCCAGTGTTCAGAGAAGCAATTTTGCAGTGAACCAGGGTGACACTAAGCAGAGTTTTCTCTTCCTAGAATATAAAACTTGTATGAAAGGAGGCACTTTCAAAAAAGATTTTTCTTAGATTTTCTTTGCACATTAAGTTGATAATTACATATAGGAGTTGATAATTACAAAAGGAGGGCACTGATAAACACCAAACCATTGTCTTGCAGGGGGATTGGGTGGGGTGGGTGAGAATGAGAGCCTTTTGGAGTTTGGGTCATGTAAAAGGGAATTTTTCACATTTTCCCCTATGTCCGTACTATATCGTTTGAATCTTTTATAATGATATTGTATTCATGTATTAATTTTCAAATTTAAAAATGAATTTTAAAAAATATATAGAAACAGAAACTTCAGGTTTTTAGGCAGAAATAAGGAAGTCCTAGTTATCCAATACTATAAACACATTTTTACAATTAGTGTTATGCAGGCAAGGAAATAATTCCAGTGTAACTAAATAGTATCTGTGTATGTCTGTGTGTGTCCACAGATATACATGGGCAGGGCACCTCACCAGGATGGCAGGCCGCAGCTGTATATAGCAGGGCAACTAATTATCCCTCACTTCACTAAAGGAAGAATTTCACAAAAGCTTTATAGATTCCAGGAAGCAAATCTGCAAAACTTGGTAAATGTAGAAGAAATGATCCAGTATTGAGATAAGGCATCTAACCTTAAAAGATTTTTTTAAAAAAGGCAACCACCAGTTAAGTGCCCACTGTCTATTGCCGGGTTTCTCCTGGCTGCACCCCACAACTTCACACCTTTAGTAACAGGGTTCCCCTGATATGCCGAGGCATGACAGAGTTTCCAATTGAAACTCACTTGTAATTTATTGTTCTTCTCACATCAGCTTGCAAGGAAGGGAGCACAGCAGAGAGACATGCATCCTGTACGCCCAAGACAGTCTGGTTGATCTCTTCTGTTCTACCTATTATTAATAGCACCCTCCCACCTTCACTCAGTATCTGATTTTGATTGATCAGCCATATGGTCATTGTAGGCTAGAGCAAAGCCTGTATCTTGCCAGGTCCAAAGGAGAGAGCAGCCCATTCGTCCTTGTGCACAGCAGCTGTGGTGCCTTCCTGGTCTTGCTGTCTGCGCAATCACAGAAATGTCTCAGTCCTCTTATCTCAACTTGGGTCCCCTGTCTTTTCCATCCCTCCTTCCATTTCCTTTGCTTAAAGCTAAAACCAGCTTTACTAGTCCCAGAATCCCACCTCTCCCCATTGAACTTCTCAAGGCCATTGAAGCTTCACACTGTAGCTCCAGCTTTAGGTGAGTTCCCAGATGAAGGGGAGAGAGAAACTGAGGTCCCAGGACACCACAGCAACACCTGACAAGTTAAGCTACTTCCTAGAGTGGGAATGAAACTAAGGGTGTGGAGAAGACATTAGACCTACCTTTGATACCAACATACCACGCAAATAAGCAGTTATGGGCTTGGAATCTGATAAATTAAAAAAAAAAGAAAACAAAACACACATGCCTCTACAACTCTCCCTCTCTCTCTCTCTCTCTCTCTCTCTCTCTCACACACACACACACACACACACACACACACACACACACACACACACAGGCAGACATGCTTTTAGAATGGTAAGTGCTTCCAAAAAATAAAAAGACTGGGCATCGCTCTGGGGTTTCTCTGGGAGGCAGAATCTGCTGTGGGTAGGACCTCCAGCTCGGGATTCAGACACGTCTTAGCTTACAATCCAGCTCAGCCATTTACTAACTATGTCAGCCAGTTTTATTATCTGTACAATGGGAATAATAAAAGCATCAAAGCATTGTTTTGAAGTTTTGAAGATTAGTATGATCGTGGGGTTAAAGTAACCACAGTAATGATTCAATAAATGTTAGCGAGTATTGCTGCTATTATAGATATACTACTGACAATGTCATGATAAAGAGACATTGTGACCTTATCAAAATATGTTACTGGAGCATAGTACATGCTGCATAAATGTTAACTGTTATTATTATTACAATGGTTAGTTCAGCCTGTGTAACAATCTATCATTACAATGGCAAGAAATTGCCAATCTGGTTCTTGACGGCGGGTTTGCCATCCCTTGCTGCCACCTTGGTTTCCTCTCGTGTGAGGGCTGCTGAATACCGGCGTTATGTCAAATCTGGTATTTCCGGTGGCGTCTCCAAGGCTCCCCACCCAGCCGCAAATATACAAGAAGCCTTGTAGTCAATGCCTTCACTACAATTCTCCAGAATTCTCCTAGCCCGGCCTGCAAAATTTCCAGTAGAGTTTCTGATCTAAAATGAGAGGCAAGGTAGGTCATGGGGTACTTTAACACTAAGGAGGTTTTCCCCACTGGCCATTTTTACAGCATCATACTTAAGGAGGACCCTTTCTGAGGGCAGTTATTCTGTTTGTTTCACAGTTTGGTGGCACAAACAGTAGTGTTTTTCTATTGAAAAATGAAGGCTCTAAAATTAGATGGTGGCCGTAAATTTTTTATGGGTGCCCTGCACCGTTCATACCCTCGCTTTACCTCCTGTGCTCCACTCAGCTGGGACGGCTCCAAGCTGCCAGCCTGATTTGCGGTCAGTTCTACTCGCTGAGAAGCAGTGGCCGATGGCACTGAACGCTGGGCAGGGCAGGAGACCCAGGCCCCTTTCCAGGCATCATCTCCAGCTGTGTCCACCGTCATGGGGAAGCCCTTCTCTCTTGGCCTCCTTAGACCCCAGCTGCCTGGGGTCAAGTCCAGCTCTCCGCTTTCCAGCTGTGTCACCCGGGATAATGGCTTGACCTCTGTGAGCCGCTGTTCCTCACCTGTAAAGTGAGAATAACAATGAGACTCGCTTCCCACGGTGCTGAAAATAAAATGAGATCGTGTTCGAGAAAGCTCTAGGCATCCATAGTAATTCCTCCTAAGCGCCCACTTTATCATTGAGCAGACTGGCATTTCCTGAGCACCTGTTCTGTGTCACCTCCGTGCCAGGTGCTTACTTGGGCTATCTCATTGAAGCTCTGCCACCCTGAAGGGCAGCCACTGTCATCCCGCGTACGTGTGAGGGAATGAGTTTCAGGGGTAAAGTCCCCTCGCTTTGGACCCACAGGGGATGAGAGGGCAACACCAAGTCGGCCTGTCTGATTTCAGGGTCTTACTTCTCCTACCACACCCACCATGCAGAGGCTTCATAAATAGCACATCTCTGGTGGGGCTCAGGGTCTGTAGACAGTGACCTTTGCTTGGCTGTGGGTCCCTTCCCACGAGCAGCCCTGCAGGGTCTGCCTCGGGCTCTGTGGTTCCATGCAGCCATTTGCTAAGCAGGATGTGAAGTGTGGGGCGTTCGCTTACCAGCCTGGCTTATCTGCTTTGGGGCAGGGCCTTCCTGGCTCTGGCCTTGTGGGTTCATGATTTGGCTTAATTACGGTGACCACAATGACACCACTGGCTTT